CTTCAACAACACAGTCTCCAAGAGATGACAGGATGGGGTACCAATGCCAAACACCAAATTTTGGGGCTTACTCCATCCCCGTATCTAACAAGGCATGGTTGTAGCTCAATCTCCAAGTGCCCATCAAACCTGTTGAAAGCACATGTCCTGTGTCAGGGGGTGCATCCACCTATCCTGCCTCCCTGTCCCCCCACCCCCACCCCCACCCCATGATGCTGCGTATAAAAGGACAGAAACCCTCCGAATGTCTCCTTTGAGCAAATCCACTGGATAAATTCTCAGTCTACTCTCTTCCTCTCCTTCCTTTCTCCTCTCCTGAGAGGACGATAGGACTATATAGCACAGCAGGGTGGTCTCCCACCAGATCTGCGTCATAGTCTCTCTGAGTCTGAGGGACCCTAGAGACCCCGCAGCTCACCTCCTGCCCCCTAGCCCAGAAACCTGGGACACAAGGAGGTCAAGTGACTTGTTCAAGGTCACAGGGAAGTTTGCAATAGAGTTGGTCTGAAAACCCCAGCCTCCTCATCTCCAGTCCAAGGCTTGTTCTAATAAATCAGGCTTTTTCGGCTTTCAGATGCTCCTGCTGGTCATGTCCGAAGGGAGCATTCTGGAACCAGAGAGATTCAGAGCCCAGGTGGAGAGAGTGACCTCCAGGGCCCCAGACCTTCCCCAGAGGATGGAGACAGAGGGGGCCGAGGCTGTGGGAAGGGTGAGGGAAGAAGGAAAAACAGGTAAAGGTGGGGGGTCAGGGGCATGAGGGTAGCAAGTGAAAGGATTACCCCAGTCTGCTGACGAGTGCAAATTATATTTATATATGTGCTAAATACAGTCACTATATTGGAGTTCTTCACTAGATCACAGCATACAGAATCAAAGGTTTGCATTTCGTATGGAATGTATCCAAAGAGGCCAGCACCACAGGAGGACAGCTTGCAATCACACACCCTGATAGTTTGGATGAAATAAAGTTCGCGGAATTTTATTTAAATTTTTTTTGTATTCGTAGTTGTTTGTCATCGTACCAATGCATGCAAAGCATTCCACTCCCAGAAACAACGCCAAAATGAGGTAATAGGAGTAATAAAAAAAATTAGTATCCTTTCTAAATAAATAAATTATAATTAAAAATGCAAAACAACTATAAAAATAATTAAATAAGAACCCACGATATCTACAAGTTAGTCATAAATTATGATTGTTAAATATAAGGCATTTAAACTCACAAAACCCTGTAAACTAGCAACGTGCCATGTTTTTTGTTTTTTGTGGTTTTTTTTTTTTCATTTTTGTTTTTCTATCAGCTGAAATCGCTCTAGCATTTGCTCTACGCGCGCGCAGGAGATGAAACACGAGGGGGGGACCTGACAGACGACGTTGCTACAGCCCCACGCGGGGAGTGTGTGTCCCGCCCGCCGGCGGGGGTGGGGGGCTTGGGGGATTTCTTCACAAAAAAAGAAAAATCTGGTGCTTTTTCTTCACCATTGAAAAAACTGTGCTTGTTCATTAGGCGTAAAGAGTTAAGAATACTTGCACGGAGGCCGGGAATATTCGCAGAAGAGGAGCTCGGGTCTTGCCACAGGAGGTGGGCAAGGGCAACAGGGCGCAAGGGGGTCCCAGGGCGCGTGGAGGAGCCCCATGCCCCCGCCCTCTGCCTGAGCAGGCCGGGCTTGTGGCGTTGGTTTCAGTGACCGGTGTCCTCGGTGGACCCACTGCGGCCGGGACTGCGCTGTGGCTAGGAGGCCCAACTTGATCCTGGGGCAGCTCTCGCCCCAGAAGGCACTCATGCGTCTCAGTCAAGAAAGGGTCTGAGTCCCTGGAGTTGAGCAGAAAGGGTAGGACTGGGGCTCTCCCCTCCTGGAGGTGGTGGGGATGAGATGCTGAGGCCTGCGCCTGCCTCTTCTCCACTCTCCAGCCGCTCCCCGGCAGTGGGGGGCGGGGCCTCGAGGGAGCAGAGGCACAGACCCCGGTGCTCTCTTCTCACCCAGACAGCTGCCCCCCTGGAGGAGCAGGGAGGTGCCTGCATCCACATCACCTCCTGTGCCCACCTGCAGGGTAAGAGGGCCCCAAAGAGAGGGGGAGGGGGCGGGGGCTTTAGGATCTACCCCCAAGGCCAGCAGCTGACCTCTTTCCTCCGGGCAGTGCCCACCCAGTCCAGGCAGTGCCCAAAGTTAGGCTGGAGCGTGCAGGGAGCCTGCAGGGAATTGGGAGGAGGAGGAGACCACGTCCCACTCTCAGCCTTGAAAGCAGATGTTGGTGCCCACAGCAAGTCATTTCAACAGCTCAGTTGGCACACAGCTCTAATGACTTGAATGATATATTGATGTTAGGGAGGATCAAAGAATGTGAGTGTGGGAAGAAAATTTAGCAAGCATCCGACCCAACCGCTTTGCGTTACCACCGAGGAAACTGAGGCCCAGTGAGAAGAAAGCAGGTCTCTAGCACTACCCGCTTTGTCAGTGAAGAGCCAAGACTGGGACCCAGGCCACCAGCTCCTGCTCCGTCTGGCCGCTCACTGCCTCCCTCTACCTGCTAGCCTTCCAGACCAGCCTTAGAGAGAACAAGAGCCCAAGACTAAGAGAGGAATGACCTTCCCCAGACCACCCTGCCTACCTGTGGGTCAAAGCAGGGCGGGGAGAATTCCCACCTTCCCGGGGCATCTAGTAACTAGCTTTCCCCAAAGTCCTGACTCAGGAGTAAATACTTTTCATGCTGGTGGGGTCTCTAACCTTTGGCCCTAGAGACACTGTTGGCATCACTGAAAGGAACAGTGTCATGCTCATTGCCATCAACCCTGAATTAGACTGTTCAACATTTTTGCACTAGTCTTTGTGCCTTAACCCCTCGGCTCCACTGTATGCCCCTTGAGGCAGGGATGCCGTCTCCTTTGTCACTGTCTGTCCCAGCACCTGCCTGGCAGGCGCTCAGTAAAGGTTGCTGTAGTCTGAGGACGGTCCTGGAGTAACCCGCCCACCAGAAGCCACTTCCCCCACTATCTGCCTACAGGTGTCCAGAGCAGCCATTCTTCCACCTGACAGCTCCAGTTGTGCTAGAAGGTTCTACCTCAAGCCAAAATCTGCCTCCCAGTCATTTTTACCCATTGGTCATGGTTTTACCCTTGGTAGCAGCAATGCAAACTCCAATTTCCTTAACCTTACAGAATTACTTCATATATGTGATAAATATTCTGCCCCCCACCCCCAGTCTTCTCTTATCAGTATAAGGGCATTAAGACTGGGGCAGGGAGGCTTTGAGGGCAGTGCAAATGAGGAAGGGGAAGAGGGGAGGGGTGAAGGAAGAAAGCAGAATTCCAGCTGAGCTGGTGTTTTCCACCTATAGACAAAAGAAGTAGGGTTAGGATTGGTGAGTTGGTAGAATTTGGTAGTTTTCCCCATCTTCATTCCTCTGTCCTCTCATCTCTCAGCTCCCTTTAAGGTTCAGGAAAACTGTGGGGTAGTGCAGAGAGACATACTGTGTGCTGTCACCCAGAAGTTCCAGGTCTGTCTCTCCTACCACCCTCATCCCTAAACCCAAGGCGGTTCACAGGGGAGACCTTGAATATGTTGGGCAGGTAGTATTAATCCTCACAACATCTAGGTGAGGTAGAGGAAGTGGAAATGGGGATGCACTGTCATTTCTCCCTACTCAAAGGAGAGGGAAACTGAGGCACAGAGAATGAAAGGGACTTGCCCAAGGTTATCAAAGAGTCAGAGAAAGAGCCAGAGGCTAGGGACACAGCGCCTCCCAAACCCAGCCAACAGCGCCTCAGGGCCAGGGCATTCTCCAAGGGACTCCATCAGGATCTGAGCCATCCCAGAGGAAGCTCAAGGTCCTCCTCAAGGCCTGCAGTATTTGGCCTCAGCCTTCGAGTGCTAGCTGAGAGCACTTTGGCCAAGACCAGGTATCCATCACCTATGCTACTTATCCTCATCATCTGGTTCATTTTTTGCATAGGGAGAGAGTGGCCAAATAGCCTCTTTGCAACAGGGCATGAACACAGCCCAAAGGGGGAAGTTGGCATGAGCAGGGGCATCCTGGCTCTGAGGAACCCAGTGGCAACTTCAGTTAAAGGCTGGCCCCTCCCTGGTTCCGTATGGAACCAGGTGGGGGATGGCTGGAGCTAAGTAGATGGGCCCTGGAACTGGGGATCCTTGCTTTGAGACAATTCTCATCTTACCTACTCAAATTCTACCTTCCCAAGCCTGGCTGAGCCCCTCAGAGCCCCATCTAAGACTCCCTTCTACTTCTTCTCCAATCCTTCCCTCTCCCAGACGTCCCCTTCCATGCTCCGTGCATTGTAAACATGAGAAAAACAAAAGCAAAGGGAAAAACCAAAACAGAAAACACAACAAGGGACCCCCCCTCCCGCCTCCCAACCTGGGTGAAAAAAAAATCATCCTTTTTTCATCGTAAACAGGATTTGGCTTTTGTTTTTTCTTTCACTTTTGATTCCTTTTCCCTTTTTCTCTCATAAAGACGGGAAGATTTGGGCTGTCGTTGGTTGGTTCGGTCAGGCACCAAAACAAGAAACTCAATGAGAAATATTTGGTGCGAATTCGGTAATAGCAACATGACCACCACAAGATGACTAGAGCACCACACACAACATTTTTCTTAAGCTAACATGCTCCGGCTGCCATCCACAGAAATAGCTAGAGACCCCTACATGGTTTCTACGTGGTCGAGAGGTATATATACAATCCTTCAGAGGACAGGATTGAGGGGCCGGTCTATGAGCTAGGACCTTCAGGATCACGTTTAGATTCTCAGCAGCGTGGGCCCCCCCTTCCCACCCCTGCTCCGGGCACGGCCAGCTCCCTCCCTCCTGCGCAGCGAGGCAGATGGGGACAGTCACCATTCCAGATGGGTGGGTCCTCCCCCACCCTTCCTTTCCCTCGGACACTGACACCACCAACTCCTCTTTCCACAAAATGTGCTTGCAGGCTTTTCCTCTACGTCAAATGGCTCAGAAGGCAAAGTTTGGCTGCAAGGGCTATGGCCGTGGGGGGACCTGGTGAAGGAAAACGGGGCGTCCACTGGCTGCTTCCTCCCTCAGCTGTCAGCTCCCAGTTGTGTCTCAATGTCCACCCGGCAGATGGGGCATTTCTTGCTCATGGCGAGCCACTGGTCCACACACAGTTGGTGAAAGAGATGCATACACGGTAGGCGCCTGGAAGAGAGGGAGAGAGTAAGACGAAAGGCTGAGGGGAGGGGGTCTGGGGCTGCCCCAGGAACTGAGGGGCACCAGCTACTCCAGGGACCAGGAGATGCACACCCAGGACTGAGGGGGGAGCTCTGCCTGGAAGTGAAGCTGTGGCTGGGCTGGGAAGTCACAGCAGGACGGAGAGCCCCGAAGTCCTCCTTCTCCGTGAGGCCATTTCAGTTCAGCCCGAAACGAAGCCAGGCCAAATCGCAGTCTCTCCTCTTAAACTGAGTATCTATGAGTCCACACCTGCAGGCACCACACATCTAGAACAGTCCACACACCCCTTCCTAGAACAACCAGGAAGCACACTATGAGACACTTGGCGCACACCCAGGTGCACACACACGCACAGGCAAACCCACATGAGCACCAACGCCCACCAGGGAAGGGGGAGGGAACCCAAGCAGCCAGCCTCCTACCTCACATCTTCTCCATCTTCCAGCATAGACAGACAAATTGTGCATTTCTCATCTGTGTCTGACTCCTCCCCCTCATCCTTCTTGCCCTTGCCATCCTGGGGTCTTCTCTATGAGAAGCAAAGGAGGAGCATTTGTTACCAGAAGCAGACTTGCCTGGTGGCCCCTGTCTCACCCACAGCCCTTCCCTCCCTTGCTGCCTCTCCCCCCATCTCCCCCCACAGTGAGGCAGTCAGTCTCTTTTTCAGTTCCTGAGTGCAGCCCAGGCTGCTATGCTCTTCCCAGACCCTTCCTCCTGCCTCCTCTCCAACCCTTTCTTCTTGCTGCAGGATACAGAGGGTTAAAGGCAAGTGAACTTTATTATTGTTGTTCCAGATAATTCACATCCCAGATATAAACTTCATTCTGTCTTAAGAGCTTGGCGTTTTGAAAGGAATTGGGTACAAACGATTCAGTCCTTGGTAAAACGATGGCTGTGCATAAACAGCCTCACCTTTTCTGTTCGCTTTGTTCCTCACACCCTTTCCAACCTAGATCCCTGCCTCCCAGCTTCTCCACTTTCAGGTCCAGCATCTTCACTCATCCAAGCATCCATTCCCCCCCCCCCCCTCCCTCCCTCCCTCCCTCCCTCCCTCCCTCCCTCCCTCCCTCCCTCCCTCCCTCCCTCCCTTCCTTCCTTCCCTCCACTTACTAATGTCTATTCACTTTTTTATATATAACTAGATGAAGGCAAAAATCCTCAGGCTGGTATTAACATCTGTAATTTGTACCACACTGTTATTTTATGTTTTTGGGTTTCTCTCCCTATCCAGAAAGTTCCTTTAAGATGGGCAGTCGTTCCAACATGAAATTAGTCATCATGCAGGCACTCTGTTCATACTTTACTGACTTTAATTGTTCTGTTTTAAACTCTATGATAATTATTTGAAAATAGTTAATGACTATGTGGGCAATTTCAAGTTCTTAGATGGCAGGGACCATGGCTCACTCTTCTTTAGGTATCACCCTGCCCTTGGCCAAGTACGAGTACCTCACTGGTGCTTAATAAATATTCTAGGGAGGAAGGAATGTAATCAGGGAGGGAAACACGCCCACCTTTCATGTTCCTGTCTCCATGCTGGGCCATGAAACTGTCTGACTATACCCATGGGAAGAAAACCAGCCCTTCTCTTCCCTCTCCAGAGATAAGCAGACTTAAAGGTTATTTTGCTAAGAGCAAAATCTGGAGAGTCCCCAGATGAAGGTCACCCAGAGAATGACTATGACCTTGGGGCCAGGCCTAGATGCCGGGTCTCCCCACTCTGGTCCCTGGTCCTAAGCTCTGGAGTTTCTTAGTCTGATTTGTCTGGAGAGAACATACAGTAATTTCCATGCCTTCTGCTCTCTAAGCCTCTCTGTGCCCCTGCACCCCACTGCAAACCAGACCAGGTGACTGCAATAACTTCCCCTAATCCAGAATCCAGAAAATCAGAATTACATTCCTAGACCCATATAATTGGTCTTGGCTTGTGAATATGAATGCAGTCATGATGATATATCTGCCTGCCTAAGAGCCCAGCTGTGCTTGCTGGGGGAGTGGCCTTATTTTAAGTAGCCCTGCGAAAAAAGGGAAGTTCAATAGAAGATACCATTAAGGCTCAACCAACTACTTGCTTATTTTCTATTTTTTCACCATTATTTATGATTTCCTTTTTATAATTAATAATTTTAACTTAACAGTCATACCTTGTTTTACCACATCGAATCTACATTTCTTTGAACCATTCTCTCTTTCCAAAACTTACTCTGTTTCTTACTTGGAGTTTTAATCTTTTAGGTTTTCTGGTTTTTGTCTTTTTTCCCCCATTATCTATGTAACTTTTATTTTAACTTTAACTTTTTTTCACAATTTAATATTCATTTTACTCTTTTGCCCTTACTTTCTCATTTTCATTAACATTCCTTTTCATTTTGATGCTATTGATTTCAATTTTATGTTGTTTTTGTGTCTTTTTGTAATTCTCATTCTTTTTATATTCTTCTATTTGATCATATATTTCTCTGTATTTCTTATTCTTATATCATTACTATTTTTAAAATGTCCTTTTTTGTTTTATATTATTTTACTCTGTTTGAATTTTTAAGGATTTTTTTTTTTACATTTTCTGTGGTTCCTAAACTTTATCATCTCTCATTTTTATTCTTATTGCTTTTTTATAATATTTTATTCCCCTAATTCTCCCTTTATTCTCATAATTTTTTTAGTCTTTGCCCTAGGGTATGTTTATTGATTTTATAGAGAGAGGAAGGGAGACAGAGAGAGAATATTGATGTGGGAGAGAAACATCAATTAGTTGCCTCCTGCACGGGCCCCAACTCGGGATTGAACCTGCAATCCTAGGTATGTGCCCTGACTAGGAGTCAAACCTGCAACCTTTCGGTGTAGGGGATGACACTCCAACCACCTGGCCAGGGCTATTCTCATAAATTTTTAACTCAACTCTTTATCTCATTGATTCAGTCCCTGTTCCCTTTTCATCCTTTGTGTTTGCCGTTTTCCTTATGTCCTCACAGCCTCTCGTGATGATGGCAGGTGGAGTGTGTGGCCCTGGCAGGAGTGAGCACGCCCTGGCCAGGGAAGCAGACGCTCCAGGCTCCTGAACACCTCTCATTCCCTTCCACGATCTCCTCCAACAACTTGAAACGCTCTCTCCAAAAAATGATCATTTTTCCATGCAGGTGAGACTTAATTACTGAAGCACTGTCATTTCCTCTTCTAGCACAATATCCATGCCTGCCACATAGCAGATACTCAAATGTTGGTTGAAATCACTTATGGATAAATCTAGTGCTTCTAGGATGAGGCACATAGACCAAGATCCATGGTTTTTAATGTTGACCCTATGGGTCTAGAATACGTGAGCGTCACACCCAGCAGGGGAACAGTTTACCATTGCTGAGCACTTACCTGGCACTGTGCTGAGCTGTGCATGTGTATTGTCCCACTGAATCTTCAGAGCTACTAATATATCATTCCCATTTTACATTTCAAAAGGACAGGGGAGGGGCCAGAAAAGCCAAGTAAGTTGTCCAGAGTTACACAGCTGTTAATGGTGGTTATTGACTGAATGTGTTCTCCCTCCGAAATTTAGATATTGATGTCCTAACCCCCAATGTGATGATATTAGGAGACGGAGGCTTTGGGAGGTGGTTAGTTTTGATCAGGCCACTAAAATGAAGCCCCATGATGGGATTAGTACCCTTTTAAGAAGAGAAAAAGACATCATAGCTTCCTGTCTCCTCGTGTGAAGACAAAGCAAGAAGGTAGCCATCTACAAGCCAGATCTGCCAGTGCCTTGATCTTGTCTTAAATGTCACCCAGGCAATGGTATTGTGTTATAGCTGCCCAAACTGAGTGAGGCAGTAGTAAAACTGTCTGATACCTACACCTACTGCTCACAAACACTATATCCTAGGGCTGTATGACGAGTTAAAGACAGGCTCTGGTTTGACCGCAATGAGCATGTTCCTGCTCTAAGTTTCTCAGTGCTTGTCAAGCTTTTAATTCTTAAATTTTTTAAAAAGTTATTTGTTTTCATATCAGACTTTATTTTTTTGCCCTATTGTTTGTTACACCTGTCAAATGAGTAATGATACACTATTATTAACTGAAGCATCTTAGTTTACTCTTTGTTTTAAACAGTCTGATGGGTTTTGACAAATGCACATTGTCATGTGTCCGCCATTACAGTATCATACAAAATAGTCACACTGCCCTAAAAATCCCACGTGAATTATCTATTCATTCTTCCCTCCTTCTTCTGAAGCCTCTGGCAATAAATGGTCTTTTTATTGTTTCTAGTTTACAGTATTCAGCTGTTTCAGGCTGGCTTCTTCCACTTAGTAACATGCATTTCAGGTTCCTTCATGTTTTTTGATGGCTTACTAGGTCATTTCTTTTTATCAGGGAGTAATATTCCATTGTATGGATGTACCACAGTTTGTCCATTTACTTACTGAGAGACATCATAGTTGCCTCCAATTTTTTTAAAATTTAATTGAAAAAAAATTTTAACTCAGATTTCTGGCTTCTAATCCTATCTCAGATTTCTGGCTATAACTCTGGAGAGTCCACCTCTGTAGGCTTAGGATACAACCTGTGAATCTGTGGCTTTAAAAGCTCCCCTGGTGATCCTGATGCTTAATAAGAATGGAAGACATTGGTTTTGAAGCCTTGTTTGCCTATGTGTCCACATGTGAGACTGGAGTTGGAATTCTTTCCAACACAAGTCTTAGCCTTAGGTGCAGGTGCTCCCCATGCTCAACCCACTCCGATACTCACATTCATCTCCCTGTACACCTTCCTTATGTATCTACTCACAAGTCTGCATGCATACACGTAGCCAGCCTCCTCCCAAACTGTTGGGAAGGTGCCATCTCCCCACCTGGTCACACCTGGCAGAGGCAAGGGAGAAGACCCTGGGAAGGTATCGCAGCTTCAGAGCGTCTAACCAGAGCAAAGACTTCTAGATTTTGGACTTTGCCGCAAGTCAAAGTCAACTAGACACCTTCCCCTACCGTCACCCTTACTATGCAGGCTGGCCTGCTGGCTGACTCACCTTCTTGTACTTGTGAGGGAAGGTGAACCTCTCGATGGTGTTCTGTACGGCTCCCCGAGTCACATTCCCCAGCCTGTCCTCGAGCTGCAGCAGCTCCTGCAGAGAAAAAAATGTGGACGTGGGTACTCATGTGCAAAGGCATACACACACAGGTGGTAAGGGAGAGAGGCACTGAAAGATGTTAGCAGGAAACACTCACATAGCCATCAAGAAGAAGTTGTCTCAAAGACTTAAATATCTCTACTCCCTCTCTTTTGCCCTCTCCCTCTCAACCCAAAGGCTCGCCCTCCCCCACCCATGCCCGGCCCACCAGCAGGGGAATAGGAGAGAGAACACAATGAATGGCAATGATACATGAGGATGGCTTCTCCACCAACCCCACTGGAGCCAGGCTGGCAGAAGGATTCCCAGACAGAGAGGGCGGCGTACCTCGTAGCTCTCCCGCACGGCAGAGGTGTGTCTGCTGGGGTTCAGTCCCTGGAGAGCAAGGAAGTGAAGCTGAGGGTAAGGGTAGTTTCGGATTTCATGGACGACCTGTTGGGGAGAAAATTCCTCAGACAAGATTCAAGGCTCCATGAGCCCAGCATCCAACTCTTCCTCCCATGGCTTCCAATGTGCACACCCTGAGAAACTGTGGGCAGAAGCGCCATTTTACCTGCTCCTGGGTCTCCTGTACTCCTCAAGAACCAAGCCTGCGCTGGACCAGGCCCGGAAAGAATAACTAAATCAATAAAGTAACGCCTAACCTGATGGGACATTGGTTTCATGCCAGGCACTGTCCTAAGCCCTTCCGATAACTAACAAATTTAATGGTCTCATCTAATTTGCACTGCGGATGCAATTACTATCCCCACTTCCCTGATAGGGTAAATGAGACACAAACATTAAGTAAGGGGCCCGAGCTATGCAGCCAAGTCACAGAACCACAATTTTGAGCCCCGGCAGCTGGGGGTTGAGTGAATTGCCTTCCCCTCGACTCCACCCTGCCTGACCAGGGTTGGGTATATGAGGGCACAACATTTATGGGGGCACCCAAAGACAAAGAGTATTTTAATGCGATATTTTTTTAAAGTCAAAATGACTGTAAAAAATCTATAATGAGCAAAATGACAACATTTTAAACAAAGACAAGATCTGCCCCTGCCCTCGCCTGGCGCTGCCTCCCCCCGCACCCTGACGCAGGGAGAGCCAGATGGCCAAGTGTGCAGCCCAGCTCCTCATCTCGCTCTCTGCACGGCCCTGGCCTGTTACTTAGCCTCTCTACACCTCGGTTTGCCAACTTGTAAAATAGGGGTATTACCCTTCCGTGAGGGGATACTGAGAGGTTTAAATGAAATAACTCCTGTAAAGTGCTTAGAACAGTGCCCTGTATGTAGTAAGTGCTCAATAACATTAGCTTTTATTTTCAGGAAATGGTGCTTTCTAACAGGACCCAGAGGACCTCAGAGCTGACAGGACTGCCGAGGTCACTCGCCCATGCCCCTCATGTTACAGAGAACGAGACTGAGGTGCTGAGCGGGCGAAGGCAGGAGCAAAGGCTGGCAGGCAGGAGGTATGCTTTGGGGCAGCCATATGAAGAAGCTGCCTGGGGATAAGATTTTTGATCTTTTGCTTTAATGGCACATCTTCACCTTCGTTCCATGCAGTTTGCAATGGCCCAAACCCGACCTGATCCTTCTGCAGTCCCAACACCTGCAGAGAGAGAAGCCCCGCCCCCTGCAGAAAGCAGATTGGCTCAGCAGGCCAGGCCCGAGGGCCACCCTAGTCTCTTTTGTTCTTCACACCCCTCCTGTGAGCTGGGCCCCAGGGAGCAGGACCCAGGGTGCAAAGAGCAGGACACAACAAGCAGGACTCACGGAGGAGGACGCAGGAAGCAGGACCCAGGGGAGGTGCAGGCCTCAGCCCACTATGTCCCCCAACAGGCAACAGGGAGTTGGTCTCCTGGCAGAGCCCGCCCCCCCCCACTCACCATTTGCGTGGAGGAGGAGTTTCTGGGAAAGTGGTGCATTCGAGGCGTCGCTAGGTAATGCTGATAGTGCTGTGGGATGGGCCGCACCTGGAACTGAGCAGGACTCAAGCCGGCGTCCACACTGAGATCCCTGCAGGGACACGGCCACAGGAGCCACAGGTAGGTGACTCAGCCATCAGGTTACAGAAGAGACCTCAGACATCAAGCCCATGGTGGAGAACCAGAGTCACAAACTGCCAGAGCTGCAAGGAACTGGACATCAGCTCGCCCGTCCCCTCTTGTTATACAAACAGAAAGGAGACTCGGAGAAGAAAAGATTCTGCAAGGTCTGGAGGGGCCAGAACAGTCAACACCTCATACGGCTTCTTGATGCTAGTGCACTTAAGCACCCTCCCAAAACACAGCCCACCCCCGAGAGAAATGCTAAAAGAAAAATCCAAATAGAGTTGGTCAGGGATTTGGGGCCAAGACAAGGTCCAAGTATAGCAGAGGGGGCAGCAGAAGCCACAGTTCAACCATTTGGAGAAAACAAGAGAAGAGGAACCTCAACAGCTGTGAGACAGGACAAGTTGTCCTGGACCACCCCACCCCCACCCTCCTCCTGAAAGTAGAGGAAAATTTATTTTACTTAAAAATCAATCAGTTACTGCAACTGGAAAGGAACCAAGTCTCCTTGGGAAAAGGGCTACTTCCAGGTCTGGAGCATGAAATGTGCAAAATGAGATTGAATAAAACATTTTGTCATAACTGAAAGCAAGGCAGTTATCAAACATGGTCACGGTCATGTCAAAACCTTCCTGAAGGGGTTGCAACTGGCCAGAGTTTGGACAATTTGCACATCCACGGGCACAACTGCAATAGATTGAAACATGTCAAATAGGTACCAATCCATGAACAGGAAATGACGCTAAAGAAAGTTGTCTTTCCTTTGAAGGATGCTAGGGAACCACCTCCTCACTTTGAAAACTAGCAAATGAATGGGGAAAAACAAGCATTTATCTTGCCTTTCTTCTATTAACTGTACTTCAGGGTAACCAAGTAGTTAATGAAGGGAGATTTCTCTTTATAAAAGTTTTCTAGCTAATAAATGAGTAAGGAATGATTGAATTATATGTCTCCTTTTTTGAGTATCCCAAAGAAATAAAGGATCTTGCAGGCAAAGATCATCAATTGCTACTAACACCTCAGAAGGAGAGATAACCAGCTTCCTTCTGGAAAAAACACCTTTAAAGTATGTTTGCCAAAACATAAGAGCCAAACTTAAATCTGTTCAAGCCTTGATCTACGTGCCAGTTTATAGGGAACACAGGAAAATGGAGAAGATTGTAAGTGATAGCACCAGAGTATGACCAGCAAGATCCAAATAACCGGAACTACAGACAAAAATACTGATTTCTTCAAATATATATATAGTATTAAAGGAATTTCTGCTTCCAGCCATGATAAATTTATAATATAATGTACATATTCTTTTATTTTCTACATTTATTAGCCTGGATCCCTGGAACAACTCTTAATGAGTATGTCCTTTGAGAGATGAGTCAAACTCTTGGAGCCAGTTAGAAGCAAACTTAGAAATTCACTAGTCCAGCCCCCGAGTTTTCGGACCCACCTGAGGCCTGAAAAGGGCAGTGCCTTATCCATGGTTCTGGGCTAGCCAGTCATGGCCCCCTGGGTTTCTGAGCCTGGCCTGAGCTTACTCCATGACCTGACTCGGCATAGGAGTTCCACAGGGCACCCTCATGAGGCTGTAGCTCTGACCCTTGGCATTTACCCAGCAGTCTCAGGAAACCCAGCAGGTTCAAAGCAGCAAAGAGACATTCAGAGAATTCTACCAAGCAAAGTCCTAAGGAACAGGGAACAGAGTTGCCCCAGCTCCAAGAAGCCTGACTAGAGAAGCAAAAGGCACATTGGCCTTCAGCTGAGAGGGATGATCTGCCTGGGTTGGGCCTGGGAGGGCTCTGGCATTCCCTCTTATCATCTCATCGGAAAATTCCTTCCTAAACCCAGGACCCCTGAACAGGGGATGCTGCCCAGACCCTAAAGGAGCCTGGGTGGGGACTTGCCCGAGGAGACATCCTCCCCTAGAGAAGCAGTGCCTGCCACCTTCCTGCTGTGGCCACCAGCCTGTCAGAACCTGGCTGAGTTCTGAAAGGGGTACAAACACCCAAAAGGCCTGAAGCCTCCGAGTTACCCAGAAAGCTGTCCTGGAGATTCCTCGTGGACACTGTCTCAAAGCACAGCTTTTATCAGTTTATGTGTCTAAACATCAAACTGAACTTTGTCTTCCACTGGCAATGGCCTTGGCTCATGGAGTAGCCTGGTTGCTCTGCGAACCCTTAGGTTCTTCACACAGAGCTTGCTCCAAAAGTTTGAGTGACAAGGCTTTGCTGAGGCAGAGCTGCCTGCAGGGGAAGGACAGGAGGAGGTCCCTGTCCTCCATCTACCCTCCTCTCCGGGTCCCAGGTCCCCAGAGGCCTCTGCCTGGGCAGGGCTGGGATTGGGTGGTAGTGCAGGGTGCACTTTACGCTGGGGGTCAGAGTTGGAGCCACAAAGCCAGGACTAAGTCACAGAGAGAGCGTGATGAGGAGGGAGACAGTGGAGTGGTAGCTCAAGGTCAGGGTTAGGTGGTTGAGCCTGGGCCAGAAAGGCAGCATGCATCCTGGCCGAGAGAGGCTGCTTGGGGAAAAGGCCTGTGACTGGACAAGGGCAGCTGCGGTGTCTCAATTCCTGGAATGATTTAGAGCAGAATGCAGTGGTTTCTGGTGGTTCTCTTAAGGAAAGCGGGCGGAGGTGTTACAAGCACACCCTCCCCACCTCCTCCCTCCCAGGGCCCCTTGCCGGGGCGGAGACTAGCGCCTCCTATAATTCATTTCCTGCCATCTCATTTCCACACAGCATTTCTCCTGGCAGAAGAGGCCTCCCTGGAAAAGAGCGGCAGGATGCCATTGGCATGATCACAATTACAGAAGGCCCCTTGTCACAGGAGGCCAGCCCCCGCTGGAGCAGGGCTAATTACAAGGGAGGAGAAATTGTCACCTCCTCCTCTGGAAAAGGCTTCCTACTTGAGAAGTGGGAAAGAACAGGGACAAAGGGCCTAGGAGTGGGCTCAGGTGGGATCAGCGCAGGGACCACCCAGCATTCCCTGCTGGGGCACGGACCAGCCTCAGGAGCCCATGTTAGACAAACAGGGGCCAGGAACAGAGTGACTAAAACGAGTGAGAAGGGCAAGGAGATTTGACTAAGTAAAGAACGTGGCCAAGACTAAGGCTAACGCCTGCACTGCTCCTCCTGACATCTCTCCAGGACAGTTCTCACCTGTGTCACCTGTCCAGTCCCACTTGTCACGTTGGACCCTGTGTGTTTGTTCAGATCGCTCAGCTATATGCAAGGGCCCCGGGTGCTCCATGTGGACTGGATTGAATTAAATTGGATTGACTTGATGCTGAGGGACAGAATTCAATCCAAACTGCAATTAAATCTTCCTGATTTGAATCTGCTAATTAGAAAAAGGCTGGGCTGAAGTCAGGCTGTCGGCGCCGCGCAATCTATCTTTAAAGGGAGTGTTCGATTTAACAGCGTGTACCTGAGAACCAGCAGGGGCCGGGGACAACAGAACAAGTTAAAACAACTATTTCTTTCACTCGGCAGCACCTTTCACCATCAGTCAACCGGAACTATTCTTTTGAATCATTCCTAGGTGTCCAGTCCTAGGATGCTCCCACATCAGCCCTTGACTGAGCCAGTCTGTGTGACTAAATGGCTGAGAAATGATGCAACTGTACGCCTGTTTTGTTTAATAGTCCATCCTTGCCACCGAGGACCTTCTGGGTTTTTGTATGTTTGTTTCTACATTCTTAACAAAAAAAATTTTTGACCTCAAAGTTGCAAGAACAGCACAAAGAATTCCTGGAAAGCCTTCACCCAGATTCCCCAAGTATTAACATTTTACTATTTACTGCATTTCTCTTTCTCTCTCTCCCTCCCTCTCTCCACCCCCGTCATACACACACATGCGCGTGCACGCACGCACACACGTTCATAGATTTTTTTTTTTCTGAACTATTTAAAAATAAGTTGCAGGCATGATGCCCTTCACTTCTACTTCAGGATACTGCACGTCTTTTTCAAGTGTTTGGGTGTTGAGATCCAGCCTGGGTTTAGATCAGCCCTCTCCTGAGCTAGAATCAGATGGCCTGGTGCAACCAAGGGTCCAAAACCAAGCAACACGACATCCCAGGGCGACAAAGACCAATGTCCCAAGTGCAGGAAATTGCAGGAAGACTTCACAGGGGCCCACTGCCTTCACCGCCCTCAATCTCTCTCCCCAGCTTCTCAGGGGAGTCCTCACTTCAAATCTGGCTGGCTCTGCCTCCTTGTGGGCATACCCTGGCTGTTCCCTGTGGATTCCTTGAGGTCCACCCTCTCCAGGAAGCCTTCCCTGACTATCCTAGCTTCTGAGACTCTTCTTTCTGCCCTCCTCCCAAGAACCACCGGTTCCTAGCTTCACTGAGCTTAGAAAATGTTTTATATTTCTGCCCCCACCTCCCCTGCAAGAGCATGAGACCTGATCCCTAGTCTGGGCACATGGGCACCCAGCCACATCTGAGCCAAATGCCAGAACCAGGACCAGTGGGGGGCCATATGTCCCTGAGGGTGACTGGGGACAGGGGCAAAGGCTGGAGCTTGAACACCAGGCCTCCTGCATTATTCAGGTGAAAGGCACAGGAACTCCATGGATCAGGCAAGACCCTCCCCCCTCCCGCCTCCCCCAGGGACCCCAAAAACTCACCAGTCAGTGCCCTCAGCCAGATATCTGGGCTGAGGTGTCTGGAGTTGGTGGCCGAAGTCGAAGCTGGGGTGGAGTCGGTGGGGGTGGACAGACACGCGCTCCTGACTCCGCCTGCACCGGAAGGGAAGGAGGGTCCATGGTGTCTGGGCTGCCCAGGACCAGCCCAGCGCCCAGGAGCTCTGAGCGGCCCCAGCCAGCCCCCAGAGCAGCGGGCTTTGCCCCCTTTCCCAACTCTGAGGAGGTTTCCCAGCTGGGCAGCAGCCAATAACTCCGACATTCCTGCTCTCTCTGGCCACCCACTGGGCCAAGGCCTCTTCCTGAGTTTGTCTGTAGCAGGCCACCTGCCCACCCAGGTGTCTGTCTCCTCTGCTCCTTCTCCTACTCCCTTTGTCCTTGCTTGGCTGTCTTCAAGACACTTAAATCTGCCTCCTGCAGGCTCTCCCACCTCTGTGCACCCTGTCTTCCCACCATGCTCTTCTCTCCTTCACCCTCCTTCACACTCTGCTCAGCTTTTACAGCCCAGGTCAAAGCCACCTCCTTCTGGAAGGCCTCCCTGAACACTCCAGTCATGGTGACCTCTCCTCCCTCTGACACTCACCTACAACACCCCCCTTTCTGCCCCAGGCACCCAGCCCCTATCGTTATGGATGGTTATGGCCTTAGACATCATCTAGTCCCGAGGTCCTCCAAGTGGGCTCCCAGCACCTCTGCGAGTCCCTTCCTACGGCTTGTGAGCTCAACACTATTTTTATGAGAATATTATGATGTTCTTTACTTTTTCATTCTCTCACAAGTGAACATTTGTGACATGTAATTCTGCAACAGAAGCAGACACGAGAACACAGCTGTCTTCTATTAAGCCAGGCATTAAAGAGATTTGCAACTATGTTTTAAAAAGGGGGCATGGGGGGGGTCACTCTTCTTACCACATTAACATATAGCTATTTTTCAAAAACATTCTACTGGTATTCACATATAAAGAGTTCATTGTTGTTATTTTACATTGAATAAGTAATTTTTAAAATTTCTCTTTTAATTTTTAATAAAGTAAAATATCAAGTCATAACTGTAAACACAGGAGCTGGAGCATCACAGGTTCAACTCTTTCTGTTGACAGCTGAGGCTCATGCGGGGAAGTGATTTGCCAGGGATCACCCTGCCCCCACTCACCCTAGCTCATTCAGGCCATTTGATTAGTGTTGTCTACCTTTCCTTTCCATCTGCGTCATAGCTGGTCTCTCCAACCAAACCAGGGGCTCTGAAGGCGGGATTGAACCAGCCATGACCTTTAATATTCCTTACAGATCTTGGGTTTTAGAGCCAGGTGATTATGAAGCTAGTGGGGACCTAACGGGTCCTCTGTCAAATATTTCACAACGTGCAAAATACCACTGTAAGCATCACTGACCACTAGTTATCCAGCTCCTGTCCCAGGGCCTGGGCAATGTGTCAGGAACACACACTGGCCACAGAGGGAGCCCGGGTGGGGACAAGGCAGCCCTCACTGCTTCAAATGAACAACTCCAACTGGAGCAAAAGCTGCCTCTGCACAGACCCACTTAGTGACTGCGGTCCTACCCTAGGCCCCGCCCCCGCCCCCCACCCGCCCTAGAAAACACCCACCTGGGGTGCGAGACCAGCCTGCGGTGCTGGGCTTCCAGGAGCTGCTGCTGCAGGAGGTATTGCTGGTGCAGGGCCTGAGGTAGGAAGGAGGGACCTGTGACGTCCTGGAACTGCAGGGTGGGCAGCGGGGTCAGCGACTGGTGCAGGGCGCCGCTGTGCTGGTGGGCCGGGGCCATGTGGGCGCTGAGGCCCGGCTGCGACTGCACGGGGTGGGCCAGGGGGAAGTCGGGCGCGAGCTGCTGCGGCTGTGGGGGGCCCAGGTGGAAGTGGCGGCAGGAGGTAGCGTGAGGATGCTGAGACCTTTGAAAGGGGGCACCTGGAGAAGCAAGGGCAGAAAGAAGACTCCTTGAGGACCGGCACTGCGCCCCTCCCCCACAGACCCCTCATCGCCCGGGAACACCCTGCAGCTGGCGAAACTCAAGACCTTCATTAGAACACAGCAATCTCATCACTTTTATACCATATGGTCATCTTTAATGCTGCCAAGAAAAGGCCTTGTGCCTTCTGCGTGGGAGGAGAGATGGGTGCTTTCTTTAATGAACAGATAAGCATCATTTAAAAAATTAACACAGTTGTGATAAGAGTTTTAAGGTCCTTGAGGCTGATTGGCTTTCTTGAATTAGACTCCTCCCATGCAACCTCTTGACCTCTCTACCTTTTCTAATAGATGCCACATAGAGAACCCTGAGCCCAGCCTCGCCAAGCTCTGTACTTCACCAAAGCCTCGGCTAGCTAGGACCCAGCCCACAGGGAGCCCTCATTTCCAGACAGGAAACAACTATAAGTTGTTTTCCATGCAGTTTTTTTTTTGGGGGGGGGAGGCTAACTTTTTAAATAATAAATAATAATTAAACAATGCGTTATAATATTATAATTTATTTAAAAGCAACCATTTCTAGGAATAAGTTGGGCTCAGCCAACATTTACTCGAGTCTCCATTACTTTTCTAAATAAAATTGACTTTGGTAACAAGCAAAGATGTAGCTCTTGTCCCTGGAGTCTCCAGTAAGGCCAGGAAGAGGAGTTGGCCCCTCAGGAAGCTCTGCAGGGGCTTCCTCAGAAATAGGTCTATTCCTGACCAAAGGAATAGAGAGCAGATAAAGAGACAAGGGCAGAGAGAACAGAAGAGGTGACATCAGCAGGCAACAGATGTCAACAGATGTCTTGAAGATGGAAAGCAGATGGAAGAATCAGCAGAGCTGAGAAATCAGAAACCAAGCTCCAACTGAAGGGGAGGACAGTCAACAAGACAGGGGACAGATTTTGCCACACGTGCTGGAAGGGTCAGGAGTTGGAGGCAGTGGCCACTGTGGAGCTGAGAATGGGAAGGCGATTTGAGCTTGTACGAGGAGCACTTCTGCCTGAGGCTCCTCCTGTCACCCCAGCATGATGTGGGGAAATTGAGCCAGAGAGGCTGCGGTAAGAGGAGGGCAGGGCGCTGCACCATGCTCCAGCTGTGGGGTTAGGTGATCACCTATGAATGGTTCTGTGGAGACCCCTGCCCCCTTCTGCCACTTGGTTCTGAAAGAACTGTCACCCAGGTGCCCCTTCCCTGCACCTGCCATAGCCCTGGACTGGAAACTGGCCCCAGAAAGAGCACTACAGATTCTTCTGGTGGGGAGTACCCAAGAAAACGGCTGGGCCTCCAGCTGGCCACTCTATAGTGAAGCCTGTAAGTTGAAAATCCATACATACAACTTCTGGCAGATGTTAGTGACCTATTCTTCAATGTGAACAGACAGCCCAAGGGGGACCAGTCTCTTGGGGAAGATTACAAAGTGAAAAGAGAGAATATACAATATAAAAAAAAATAAAAGAAGAAGAAGAAGAAGAAGAAGAAGAAAGGAAGAAAAAAGGAAATGAACTCAGAGGAACTGAAGTAATGCAAGAACCAGGAAAAAAACAAATTTTAAAACATTATCCTCAATCTCTTCAGAGAAATAAGATGCTGGATCCATGGGGGTGGGGGTGGGGGGCGGGGGAGTTGTTCTTTTAAAAGGAGCAATGAGAAAACAAGAGAAGAGCTCTTGGAAATTAAAAATATAAGAGTGAAGTCTGAAATTCAACAGAAGAAACACTGGGAAAATTTCCTGGGTAGTAGAACTAGGTGATAGGAACTAGGAGAAAAAGGAGACAAACATTGAAGGATCTGGTCAGAAAATTCCACATTGACTAGTAAGAGAGAAAGAACAAAGGAAACACCAGGGAGAAAATTGTGGAAATTTACCAAAAAAAATTACAAAATTACAAAAAAATTTTTGTAAAAAATTACCAAAAAAATATTCCCCCGAAGTGAAAGTCTGGGTTTCTAGATAGAAGAGGCCTCTGAGTGCTAGGAAAATAGAAGGGGGAAGAGCCCCACACCAAAGCACCTGACTGTGAAACGTCCAAACAGTGGGGGCAAGGCAATGATTCTAGCACCTTCCAGAGAGAAAACAAAAAGGGGCCACACAAAGGGTCAGGAAGCAGAATTGCAAGAGAGTTTTCAAGAGCAACAATGAAAGCTTAAAAACAGTAAAGCAATTGCCTTGAAGATCATGGCGGGGGGTAGGGGTGTTAATCTAGAATTCTATGCCCAGCCAAACTATTAACCGAGTGTGAGAATAGAATTAAAGCCATTTTCAAACATGCAGGGTCTCAAAAAAATCAACCTTCTTCAATCAATGCTTGCTTGGCACCCTTTCTCAAAGAAACCCTGAGAGAGGAGCAAAGCTATTGGGGGGTGGCCCCCAAGACAGGCGAGCTTTCCCACACACACAGCTGCTCCAGCAAGCATTTTAGGGGGAGCAGAGGGTGGGAGCTCCGAGCGGGTGTGGCGGGGGAGATGGAAACGAGAGGGTTACCGATGCAGTTGGCCACATGAAAATCATATTTGGAGGAATTTTACAACTTCATAGAGAATTTGGCAAGAATCTGTAAAAATGTCGCAGAAAGCAAGGCAGCACCCCACCCCAAAAATGAGGTAATTGTGACCTCCAGAAAGAGAAAAGGTTGTGCAAGAAAGTATAACTGTTATGAACTACTTGGTTCATCAGTGAACAGTATTTGATATTAATAATAAAACAAACACTAATAAACCAAAGAACAGAAAAGGACATTTCTTCCAAAATAAGAAGAAAATGGCCAATGTCAAAATTGGAAAATCAACAAAAAGCGGCATAAGAACTTGTTTAGACATTTACTGAGTAACTCATATGCCAGGGAGTGCATACCCAGAGAGGAGCTGAAGCGCCAAGCTTCAGGGAACAGCCCTGGGGCGGGAGGTCAAGGGGCAAGCACTCACTGTTTTACTAAATGTCTTATGGGCTGTTCAACTTTGTAGATGACATGCATGTCATTGAGAGATTTTTTTAATGTTTTAAAAATAAATATTTGCAAAACAAAATAAAAATAGTTTCTGACTGCCCTCAAGTGAGCCAGAAAAGAATTCTCTAGAACCTTAATTCCCACAAGCATTCTGGATAAGTAGGGCGTCTCAGCCTGGTGAATTCTGGTTTCCATGAGTCCAGGGGCTGTGGCCTAATCAAGTAGGTGAGAGGCACGCCGCTAGCCTGATAGCAAAGCTCCACCCTCCTGATCCCCACTAACCCACGAAGGCCCCCCCCACCCCGAGCCGTCCACGTTGGTCTCCTCAAATCTCTAGGCATGCCATGCTCATTCCCACAAGGGCCTTTGCTCACGTCTGCCAGCTGCCTTCTCCATCCAAAAAGGTCACCTCTGAGCTCTTTTGAAAATGCCTCTTCCGCCCACCAGCCCCGGGGGACGACGCCCTTCCCTTCCGAGTTCCCGCAGAACACCTTGTCTGCGCCACTCGCGGGGCGACTGGCAGTGGCTACCCTGAGCTGCTTCTTCACACTGGCCACCCCCAGCTGGCTCAGCTCTGTGCCTCCCTTGGAGCTAGCATTCAGTAAAGACCTGGTGGGCTGACTGCTGGGGCGACTGAGCAAAACACAGGGGCCCACAGGGATGGATGTACTAGGGCAGGTTGAAGTCAAGCTGGATCGAAACTGAAGGGGACGGGGAGTGGCAAGGAGGGCTCGGTGAACTCTGGGTTTTAAAGCTGTGGCTTGGCAGATAGAGGTCAGGGGGGCCAGCCAGGCGCCCTCCCCCTAGGGCACTGGTGGAGTGCCTCTCATCGCCAGGAAAAGCAGGGACATCTCTTCCACAAGGCCCTTCTGCCACAAGGGTGCCACCGTGCGAGGCGGAGCCTGCAGCTTTGTATGAAGGCTATTTAGAAAGAGGACTGGCCGAGGCCCCTGGCCCAGAGGAGTGCCGCCGCTGCCCTGTAGCCTGTGCTCTGCGGGGCATGCCCCGGGAAGTGGGAACAGGTGCCCTCTCTCCAAAGTGGGCAGCAAGAGAAAGGCGAACAGAAGTGTCTATTTGTTCCATATCATTCCAGGCGATCTCCACCTGCAAAGGTCTTTTTTTAATTTATCTTTTTACTTTAATTTTTCAATTTAATCTTTATTGTATTTTTCCATTACCATTTAGTTCCCTTATACCCCCTCCCCCCAGCAATCACCACGTCGTTGTCCATGCCCGTGAGTCCTTTTTCCTTTTTGCCCAATCCTTCCATGTCCTCACTTCCCCCCACCCCCTACACACCCAAGCTGCCATCCGCAAAGGTCCTTTAACTTCCATTTTGGGACTCTGTTTCCCCTCCCCGTCACCTCCATCCCCAGCGGATTCTCAATCTCAGCTCCCTTCTCAGAAGGGAGCCGAAGCCAGGAGAGGCCCATGCAGGGATGCCTGCCTCTCCACAACCCTCTGTCTGTGGGGTCATGAAAGCAGCAGATAATTGCTGCTCTATTGGCCTCTGAGACCACAGGAGTGAAGGCCTAAGGGTGGAATATCTGGGCCCATGAAAAGCCAATGATCAGTGACATCTGAACAACATTTATGTCCAAAATGCCCCCATCAATAGACAACCTACTGTTGATTCCCATTAGAGTCACTCCATTGGGTTAACAAATAATCTCCGTAGGATATGGGGATTGACTGAGGGAAGGGAGGTGGCGGGGCTAAAAAAAATAACAACAATCTCCAGATGTCCCCGATTATACCATCCATTTATTTCCCCAGGGCTGAAATGCCATGGACTGCAAGGTTCACCATGCGCTAAGTAATGTTTTTAGGGAGTGGGGAGAAGGAAAGATCTCTCAGAAACAAACAAAATAACACACCAAAGAAACACAAGTGTAAGGCACACATTTGTTTCAGAAATGAGAATCTTTGCATTTAGAATTGTGCACTTAGAATTCAGGAAATCAATGCTGACCATTAACGCACCCCCCACCCCCCAGAGCTGGCTGGGAG